GAGCCAGTTCGTGTCGGTACGACAGGTATCCTAACCCCAAAATCGTCACTTTTCAACACGTTATAACTTTTTTTCTGTGGCAGAGCGACGATTTTTACTTTTACAGTTGTGTTTTACGCATCGAAATACACAATATTGCTAAGTTACAGTCAGATCGGTGAGGTTGCCCCTCTCCTTCAGTATTACCTTAATGTTTTCTTTAACCTAAAAAAATACTCAATTTTACGGAAATAAATTATCGTTACGTGTATGTTTCTCTAGTCAGTATTATTTAATATTGATAATAATTATTAATATTCTCGTTTTCTTTTACCCTTGCTCGTCGCTTTCGTTATTGAAGAAAGGGAAGACGAAGGGCCGCTGCTGGTATCATGACGGAGGAGAAGTACGCAGTGATGCACATGCCGCATCATGAACAACAGAAATTGTGTCAAACTAGAGCACTTTACAGGCAAGGAAAGAGATTGACAGCAGTCAAGGTAGCGTTGGAGACTTGTATCCTACTATAAAGTCAAGCGTCTACCTTATCTTTCATTAAGATTAATTTGCTATCTCGCCATAAATTAAATAAATAGGTACATTATGTCCAGATATACTTGGTCAAATCTGTTGTTAACGGATTTTGCCAAGACGGCTTCTATGAATCTTAGCAGGATGCCAGGAAAGGCATAACAGAATCTATCTGCTGATGAAATATAACTAACTGTGAGAGCCGAGCGGAAGAGTCAAAACTGTTTTTTTATTTAAACGATCTATGTTCTATTCAAATGAACTTACCGTTTCCGCTTGGTTTTCGCTAGCAGTCTATTATCAGATATGTCGGCAAGCCCCACTGGCAGAACATAAGCTTAGCACTATAATTTGGTTACAATTCGCTGGCAAACTGATAGTATACTGCTAACATCTTGGGATGTCTAACACTAACAATTGCAGCTAGAAAAACGATAGTCACTACGGGTGCGTTTGCGGAGTGCAAGCTGACACTAAAAGCGTCTTCTGTCTTTTTTTAACGAGTAATGAGCAACAGAGATAGACTGATGCTTTTAGCACTAACAGTGGCTTCGTAAACGCACCCTTACAATTCCATATGAATCATTCAACCTTATTTTTATGGAAGTGTATTCAGATCTTCAATTGCGTCACAATATATGTTATTAAAACGATACTTTCGCTAGAAGAGAAGCATAATATTTCCAGAAATTAATCTTTTGAGTTACGTTAACATTGTTAAATTTACATATAACGACCTTGATCAATTTAATTGGCCCTATTTAGTGCCATTTGTCCTTTAATTGTATTCTTAAGTTATGTTCGACATTAATTTTAAGAACTACGTGTATATTAGTAAGCAATAGCAGCTCGCATAATATTTCCTTGACGAATTAGCTCTGTGTAACAGGTTTACACAATTAATGATGAGTCACAGCATTTGCTAATATGTGGAGTGCCACAGCTGCAGCTGGCGGAGGAAGTGAGAAAACTCCTTTGCTCCTACGGAGACGTAAATACGATTCAGTTGGTGACTGAATATCCCTCCGAGGAGTTTACAGTAGCGTATCATGTGCATTACGCGCGTATTCAAAGCGCGAGGTATATATTCTCTTGTTCCAAAGAGATGATGTAACGCACAGGAGAATGTACCTAACTACTTAACATCTATTTGTCACGCAGAATAGCGAAGCGCTCGATTGACAATAAGAACTTTTTCGGCGGAATTTTGCACGTCTGTTATGCCCCCGAGTTGGAAACGCTCGAGGAGACGAGAACGAAACTTTGGCAACGTCGTAAGGACGTGGCGACGCAGATAAAAAGAGTTCAACAGGAGTTGGTGAACCCAGAAGTGGATAAATTTATTCCGAGGTTTGTTTAAATGTTGTTCGTCTTGTTGTAGCAAATTTGGAGACGAATAAGTGATTTAAAGATTAGAAGGAAGTCCTCTATTACGAGATAGGCTCCTAACATAAGATAGTGGGTCTTCAATATCCAATTTCACAAATCGGTTTCCCAACAATTACACGCATAAAAGTGGTAATTATATATCGCCAGTAATTGAAAAACCAAATTTCATAAGATTCAATGACCTACACTGGCCAATGTTTTTATTTAAAACACCGATTACAACGTTTCGGCCCCGGATTTGGGCCCTTTTCAAGTGATCTGAAATCGCAAATTTATATAACAATGCTGAAGGCGTTGTTATATAATCGTATTGTAAAACAACTCTAAATTCATACCTTAATAATAATTATTGTGTCATTAGTCACTCATTTGGCCAATACCATTCCACTGTGACGAACTGAGTAAAGACAAGAGAAAAGTCATTATTGTAACACAAACATTAACCGTGTTCAATGAAACTTACATATTGGTCAAGTAAGTGTTACAATAAGTGTACCATATTTGGTCTTAAAAGGACGTCTAATTCATGCCCTTTTTTTTACAACGTCATAATGTCGTCTACAATAAGACGTCGAATACGTCATATAAAATACATATGACGCTTTTGACGAAATATGATGTAAAATAGACATCAATAAGATCATGTGTGCTATCTGGGATATTTCACAGTACTACATTAAATTTCATAATGAAAATTATGATTTACTTTGAGATACGTTCCATGATTTTTCAATCACTTTGATGTCACTTTGTATCGATTTCATAGTATTTTCAGTAAATGTTTCCAAAGTTCAATAAATTTTGCAGTGTCTGCTACAAATTTCGTCAGCAAAATGCCAACAGACATGTAACAAACTGTGCTAGCGGAATATGATAGCAAATTAACTGCCGAAATCAAGTAGAATCTACGTTTTGTAACCACTTGAGCGATATATTCTATTTAGATGGTTCCGAAGTTACGGATTCCGTTTGGTTTCCGCTGAACCCGAAATTCTGCCAAGATTATTTCCGTAGGCTCTGCTGACAGAATATATTTACTTAATGCAAACGCAATTGATGCAAGTCTAACATTGATAACATTTTGTTTGTTGGACGTATACGTTGATAACAAAGATTATATGTTGTAAATAATAAAGCAATAGAAAAGACAGTTATATGTTAAACAGTATATGTATATTAAATATTTAAATTGCAGAGAACAATATCATAGAAAAAAGAGGACTCCTGCTTTACCCCTCACCGAGGAACGAATCAGGCATTGTTATCCCGGAGAAACGTTGTCTTCTATTTGCAATGGAATACCTCAGAACATAGATCCACGACCCGTGTCAGAGCCTCGTTTACCAAATAATTGGCAGAGGGATCCTAGCAGCAGCACCGTATCCAGTTTGGAATCGTATCCTGCGGCGCCGTATCGCTCGACCGAGGCGGTGATACAGGCGGGGACTCAGCGGGCGAATAAAAATCCAGATTTGAACGCGCGGAAACGAAAAAATTACAGGGGACACGGTACCACGGTATACAACAAAGTTGTTCGGCCGCGATTGATAGACACCAGGAATATCGCGAGATTAAATTCTGCCGAAAAAACGAATGTATTTTCTAATGTAAAGAAAGTAGAGAGCAGAATCACAATCAAGCTACTGGAAAGATCTGACAGCGAGAGAAAGAAAATAGTTATAAAAAACCCAAAGTATGTATCCGTCGACGTGCGTTCACGGGATGTCCCAAGACACCTCGCGGTCTGAAACGTAACATATCCCAGTCGACAAAATGTTAACAGATTGACAGCAGATTCGTTAGAAACCCGCGCCGTAGCCATTTGTGTCCACATTTGGATTCGTTTTGGCAACAGAGTTTGTAAAACATACGCTGTCGACAGATTGTCAGCAGAAACCGAGCCGGTCCAGTTACGTGAATAGATTTTGTTTTATTTCTGCTGACATGTTGGCAACATGTCGAATATATCAGTTCCTGTATGCAATCTGCGGTCTTTCTGCCTTCAAAATTTGTTTGTAGTGGGCATTTGACGAAATCTGTTCTGGCAGATTTGGCTATCTGAGATAAAGGGAGTGAAACTTCAACTTAGTTTAGATATTTGCACACTAAGCTTAGTAAATTAAAATATAACAATTTATAAATTACAACGCAAATACTAAAAAAGCCTTCTTGGGATATCCCGTATATATTGAACGTCGCAAATTTTTTAGCTGGTAATACTTTAAATGCATATATCGCACACTTAATCTGCTTCAAATCTGCCTTTCAGTGTAAGATCCTTGGTACAATCCAGCAAAGACCTACAATCGTCGATTCAGGCAGCGAAAGCTCAGATTCGCACGGTAATGCAGAAACACGATACTTAAATAAATACCAAAAGTGTAAAAAAATTATTTGAATAACTTTATTTTATAATTGTTTATTTCAAAATGAATTACATCTGTATGCATATTTAATACCAAGTTTCACTTATAACTACACAAATTCGCTTATTGCCGTTTCTCTCTTCTATCTTCGTCGTAAGGTAAATCAGCTAAACTAAAATGTTAATTACTCAAATGAGAACCGTGGAATTTGGATCCCATTGAGTTCCATTTCTACTCTTTCCGTATGCCTTGCACGGTGGTGTATTTTCTTGTTGCGTTCTAGTAGGCGTAACCCTGCCTCTCAGCAACTGTTGCGGTTTTCTTTGCATCTGGCCGTTATTAGATCGATTGCCAAGAGGTGTTCGATTCTGAAAGAGAAATTATTGACATTCGCAAATATACAATTTTGTACATACCGTTATGGTATCACATAAATTACCTCGTGCACTTCAATTCCCAGTTTGTTCTCAGGAGTGAAAACCTTTTCGCCATTTAATTTAACGTCCACCTTAGCGGTCTTCTTGTTTCTTCCTTTCGCATCTCCCTCTTTCGGAAAATCCTTTGTTTTTACTGGCTTTAAAGAGGTACTAATCGTAGTATATTTATCAAACGTTATAATCACATCTTCTCTTGAAGCCTTTTCTTGCGACAATTGCTTCCAATCCTCCTTACCTGATGGGCTCTCCTCCGATGATATTGAATCTTGCCATAATTTAATCTTACCGTCATCTTTTATCTTTGCACTAGATACGATATTTTTGCAATTATCCTCATTTCCTGTCTGATCTTGGACTTCCTCACTATCAACCGTTTGTTCGTCCGAGATCAACGACTCTTCCTCTCCATTCGTAAATTTTGGATTTTTAATAACCGTGATTTCTTTCTCACTTTTGGAAATACTTGAGTCAGAATCATGTTGAAATGTACTCAATAGCTTGTCCTGGTTCACCGTATTTAATAGGCTTTCTGAGGGTGTATCGGTTAATCGTATTTCCGGAATGCTAAGATGCGATCCAGCTTTCTGACAGGAGATCCTCATATTGTAAACATCCTCTTCGTAGCTGCCTCTGCGACTTAAATTTTCTTGCGATCGTGCTTTTAACAATGCGAGGGATCTCGGCAGTAAGATGGGCGTTCTATCAAAATCCGCAGCCGGAGATCTAGGATCCAATCCCAGAATTATAAAGCGTTCCTTATCTATCGGCGTAATTATTTTCGTACTTTTCACATCAACATTCACAACATTCGACATTGAATCATCCTACAAGGAAAACATACAAGTTAAATTTTTTCCTCCAGAAAAGCGAATAAGCGAGGCATGCTTGTAAAACTAACGGTTTTATCCGTACACGTGTATAAAATTTTCATTTTGCATTTTTACGCAAATATAAGGTAGAATTGAGAAGTCCAATGTGTACAGTATATTTCGTTCAAGTGTCTACGCTCAATTGTAGTTTTAAATAATAATAGTTACGGAAAATTTTCATGTAAAAACGTTACTTCGTTTAGAAAGATCTACACAACAACGAACGAAAGTTTCAATTGATTTCTTTCAAACAAGTTTTACGACAGTTCCATTCCTCTTCGATGGAATAACACATCAGTATTTTATTACAGTTTTACGAGATATTTTATGACGAACTCTATTCAACAGTTGTATATATTACAAAACTAATAGATGCATCATTAAAAATTGATATTAAAAGAGTAATTTAAAACTTTTTTTTAAAGTTATTACATAAATTTTCTTAAAGGAAACAATTCTTATTGAAAATTTTCTTTTACGATGCATTTAAATTTACGCAAAAATACTAGATGCGATCCAATCCTACCTATAAGACACGCTTCTTGTAGTATTCGTCAATTATCACTTATGAATATTTTTACAACTCTATTGCTTAGAAAAGGAACTAATTGTAAGCGGATATTTACAGCAAACATATGTACATCCTAATTCTAATTCAGCATACACAAGAAGAATATAAAATAAAGGAGTTAAATAAATGGCATACAGGTTCCGACTGTTCGCTGTCCGTTGATTTCAATATGGGGCGTTTCTTAGGTGTTAGCGGTGGCATCACTACGTCCATGTCGGTTTCAAGATACTGTTTTCTTCGCAGGTACTTTGGGATCGCGCTGGGTGTATCTTTGCTTCCCTGGACCAGGGTATAGTTGACCTAATTAGATATCAAGATGTATTACACGCTTTTAAATCGTATATAAACTAAACGTATGTATATATAAATTTATCATAGTGCACACAAAATTGGTAATTTTACTTCGATGGGAGTTCTTCTAATTCCTGCCGAGGCCGAACGTGGATCACCCAACACTCTTCTTTCAGCTAACACTGGAGTGCTGTTATCCTCCATAATTGCTTGCTGCTCAACCACTTGATGTTGGTTGAATTCCTTGCGACTCTCAGTGGTGTAAGATAACAGCTTACTCGCATAATTACCCATGGTATATTTGAACACAGGCAATCAAAAATCAGTAATCGTTATATTAAGCCTGATTCCTGCACATAAGAACCGTCAAGTAGCGAGAATGCAAAATCTCTCTTGATATATGATAAGTATGACAACAAAGGCTCGTAACAATAAATTTTATTAACAAAAAAAGTATTGGAACGTTCAACAAACTATAGACGTAACGCATTAACACGGGGAAACAACCTTGAATCTTCACTCTTAAAGACTGACTTTATTAAATTTATTCTGTTGATAGTTATTTGTATTTAATTTGAGTTATTTATTATTTAATTAGAGTAAGCAACGTAGCACGATGATTAGTTAGAATAAGTGGTAGTATTTACGTAAATCGTGGAATTTTCGGGACGTTGGTTATACATGGGACGAGATCACACGGTCATTCCAGACTCAATCAGAAGACTCGAAACCGCTGTTTACTTTCAAAATTAAACTGACAAACGTTCAACATATGAGCGATACCAACCATCAAACATGAGAGCGCTGCCAACGTAGTTTACATGCAACATAGGCTGCGTTCATGAAGAATAGAGATAAGGAGACCGAACTGAGGCCACAGTATAACCAGTAGTTGCACTCTCTGTCGGCGCCTTTGATCTGGGCGTTCTCAATTTTCCGCCATGTTTTTATTCGCGCCAACAGTGTATCAACGGCTAAAAGTGCCTGGGCCCTTTTCAGGATCGTATCCAGGAAAGGCACATACGAACTGGCATACATTATTTATTGTAAATGGAAATGGCCTATGAAAGAAAATGTTCTAATAAAAGTAATTAATGTAATTACTTGCTGCAACGTATAAAAGTATTTACCCATTATTCGTCAACACTGCGAATTTTTCAATGTCACACCGACTTTGCACTAACACACGTACAAAAATCCTGTGATTGGTCAGAATAAAAACATGTCGGATGCGCAGTACGGATCGGCGCGAACGTGAAACAAAAGGGCGAGTGCCACTACTGGTTATACTGTGCTGAGGCCGGATTCAGACTGAACGCGATGAGCGATGAGCGACGAGCGATTATCCAATGGGCGAACAGGTTACATGGGAAAGCGTATAGTTTTCCTATAAAGACTGTACGCCCATTGGATATCGCTCATCGCTCATCGCGTTCAGTCTGAATGAGCCATGACACGGAAAAATGTTCGAGAAACACGGCCAAATTGGTCGCTGGACTCTAATTTACTAATGCTCCGCTAGATGGCGCCTCCGTTTGACGGGACCTAAAGTCACTAGATATATAAAGTACCGCAATCGTCCGCCATTTTGGCTCCATGACGCGGCTATTTCAAATCCATCCCAGACAGCACACGATATCCTATGGATGTCGTCATTTTCAATACTCTCGAGACATTGTACGTCTCCAGAGATATTTGTACGTTCCAACTGTTTAATTTCTTTGCAGTATTGTATAAGATGATCTGCATCAACAGTAGAATAATTGCTATTTTTAGTGGTTTGAAATTGTGATAAAGAAATAAGGCGTAATGCCTGCTTAAATTCTTATGGCACGCCGTTTTGCTATTCAATACTATCATAAAAATTCTACCACATTAAATTGATACTAAAAGAAAAGAAATTATAATTATGACTAGACATATTTATAATTCATCGAATTATTATTAAGCTATCATATGATTAAAAATGCAGAAATAAAATTATGTCTAGACAAAATATTAATTCTGAATTTATTTTATGTTATAACAAAAATTTTTCAGGAATTAAAATTATGTACATAAATTTTATTCCCGAATTTTTATTAAGTACATAATTTTATTCTGGAATTTTTATTATGTACATAATTTTAATTCCCGAATTTTTATTATGTACGTAATTTTAATTCGTGAACTCTCGTAGGAATTATAATTCCTCGTATTCGATGCCTACATGTCCCAGGTCGTCAATGAAAAATGAATTAAAATTATGTCTTGACATAAAAGTAATTCCACATAAATTTTATGGCACGCTGTTTTATGGCACGCCGTTTTGCTATTTATTAATATTTCTTAATAAAATTTTGTATTTTGAATTAATTTTATGTTAAGAGAGACATAATTTTAATTAATTTTTATTATGTCATGACATAATTAAAATGTTTCTGAAAAATTATCTACTTCAGTTTAAATAAATTATTGAATTTTTATTTCAAATTAAGAAATTTTATTAATAAATAGCAAAACGGCGTGCCATAAATTCTCGTGCATCTGGTACAGAGTTGATCTGAAATTGAGGACATTGATGTCGTTTCGACATCAAATCGACATCGATCGACAAATCATTTCTCACTGGGAATACTGGGATCCTGATCTACTATGGATTTCTCTAATAAAGATGGTTTTGCACATAGAATGCGGTTAGGACAGTTACACTTCATGTGTAGTAAGTTGTGCACTATGTACACTTTTCGACGCCATTTTGGCTCCAAATCCTTATACAGTGGTCTTATGGATTGCGGTACTTTATATATCTAGTGACTTTAACGGGACCCACGCGTACACGCACCGGCGGCTATGTAGTGTGTGGAAGCAGTCGAGACCGGCAACAGCGCACAAATACATGCACGATTTTAACTCTCCCCACCACGCTCCACCCTGCAATCTCTCCTCCTCCTTAACTCTAAGCCAATAGCCATCGGGTACCTTCAGATTGCAGTGCCATCTATTGG